GTGTACACGTGTGTGTGTACACGTGTGTGTGTGTTACACGTGTGTGTGTGTGTACACGTGTGTGTGTGTACACGTGTGTGTGTACACGTGTGTGTGTTACACGTGTGTGTGTGTACACGTGTGTGTGTGAGTTACACACCGAGCGAGGTTGTGGACACGTGTGTGTGTGTGTGTACACGTGTGTGTGTGTGTACACGTGTGTGTGTGTTACACACCGAGCGAGGTTGTGGACACGTGTGTGTGTGTGTACACGTGTGTGTGTGTACACGTGTGTGTGTGTGTACACGTGTGTGTGTGTACACGTGTGTGTGTGTTACACACCGAGCGAGGTTGTGTACACGTGTGTGTGTGTACACGTGTGTGTGTGTACACGTGTGTGTGTGTACACGTGTGTGTGTGTACACGTGTGTGTGTGTACACGTGTGTGTGTTACACACCGAGCGAGGTTGTGGACACGTGTGTTGTTGTTGTTGTGGTTGTTGTGGTGGTGCCACCGCCGGCCTCGGCACCCCCTCCATCTCCACGGGTGCGGCTCTTCCCCCCCTCAACCCCTTGCCACGGCAGAGGGTTTCCCTCCAGATGCAGATCCCAACCGCATTGCCAATGCAGAGGGTTTCCCTCCAGATGCAGATCCCAACCGCATTGCCAATGCAGAGGGTTTCCCTCCAGATGCAGACCCCCAACCGCATTGCCAATGCAGAGGGTTTCCCTCCAGATGCAGATCCCAACCGCATTGCCAATGCAGAGGGTTTCCCTCCAGATGCAGATCCCAACCGCATTTCCAATGCAGAGGGTTTCCCTCCAGATGCAGATCCCAACCGCATTGCCAATGCAGAGGGTTTCCCTCCAGATGCAGATCCCAACCGCATTGCCAATGCAGAGGGTTTCCCTCCAGATGCAGATCCCAACCGCATTGCCAATGCAGAGGGTTTCCCTCCAGATGCAGATCCCAACCGCATTGCCAATGCAGAGGGTTTCCCTCCAGATGCAGATCCCAACCGCATTGCCAATGCAGAGGGTTTCCCTCCAGATGCAGATTCACAACTGCATTGCCACTGCAGAGGGATTCCCTCCAGATGCAGATTCCCAACCGCATTGCCGATGCAGAGGGTTTCCCTCCAGATCCCGACCGGATTGCCATAGCAGCGGGATTTCCTTCAGATCACGACTGCATTGCCACAGCAGAGGAATTCCCTCCAGATCACGACTGCATTGCCACAGCAGAGGAATTCCCTCCAGATCAAGACTGCATTGCCATAGCCGAGGATTTCCCTCCAGATCACGACTGCATTGTCACAGCAGAGGGATTCTTTCCAGATCCTGACAGCATTACCATAGCAGAGGGATTCCCTCCAGATCCCGAATGCATTACCATAGCAGAGGGATTCCCTTCAGATCCCGACCGAATTGCCACAGCAGAGGGATTCCCTCCAGATCCCGACCGCATTATCCCAACGGGAGGAATTCCCTCCATAGACGCAATCAGAGAATCGATAACTGCATATTGATTTACACTGGAGAAATCCGATGAGCTATAAAGCTTTATTTTTTATATTAAATATACAGATGTCCAGTAGGGTCACGGGTCAGACCGTGACGACCACGAACACAGAACACATTTCTGGCAGGGGTGCGAAAGTGATTTGAAAGGTCAAGGCATCACTTGAAAAGCATATTACAAATAACGCGAAACTATTGAACGAGTACGCTTTCGCGACCAATGTCACCCATAACATCTACGCCTCTATGTCAGGAAAAGAATCAGGAGGATTTGTGAAAAAATGTGGCTGTTGCCTGGTGAAGCTGGCTGTAATTACTGGCGAAACGTCGGACTCAGAATGTAAATGTTGTGGCTTGGCTCTCCAGCACACACCCGGTGTGCTGTACTAGTTTACTACACTATACACTACACTATACACTACATAGTACACTAGACACTACACTATAGACTACACTATACAGTACACTATACACTACACTATAAACTGCACTATACACTACATAGTACACTAGACACTACACTATACACTAGTGCTGTACTAGTATACTACACTATACACTACACTATACACTACACTATACACTACACTATATAGTACACTATACACTACACTATACACTACACTATACACTAGTGCTGTACTAGTATACTACACTTTACACTACACTATACACTACACTATACACTGCACTATACACTAGTGCTGTACTAGTATACTACACTATACACTACACTATACACTACACTATACACTACACTATACACTACACTATACACTACACTATACACTATATCTAACTATACACAACACTTTACACCACACTATATAGTACACTATATACTACACTATACACTACACTATACACTACACTATACACTACACCATATATAACTATACAATACACTATACACTACACTCTGCACTAGTGCTGTACTAGTATAGTACACTAGACACTACGCTATACACTACAATATACACTACACTATACACTAGTGCTGTACTAGTACACTACACTATACACTACACTATACAGTCAGGCTGTCCTAGTATACTACACTATAAACTACACTATACACTACACTATATACTACACTATACACCGCACTATACAATACACTATATACTACACTGAACACTACACTATACATACACTATACACTACACTATATATAACTATACACTACACTATACACTACACTATACACTAGTGCTGTACGAGTATACAATACTATACACTACACTATATACTACACCACAAACTACACTATACACTACACTATACACTACACTACACACTACACTATACACTACACTATACACTATACTATACACTAGTGCTTTACTAGTATACTATACTATACACTACACTATACACTACACTACACACTATACACTACACTATACACTACACTATTTATAACTATACACTACACTATACACTACACTATTCACTACACTATACACTACACTATACTCTAGTGCTGTACTAGTATACTAGACTATACACTACAATATACACCACACTATACAATACACTATACACTACACTATACACTACACTATACACTACACTATATATAACTATACACTACACTATACACTACACTATACACTGCACACTACACTACACACTACACTACACACTACACTATACACTACACTATACACTACACTATACACTAGTGCTGTACTAGTATACTACACTATACACTACACTACATACTACAATATACACTACACTGTACACTAGTGCTGTACTAGTATACAACACTATACACTACAATATACACTACACTATACACTAGTGCTGTCCTAGTATACTACACTATACACCACACTATACACTACACTATACACTAGTGCTGTACTAGTACACTATAGACTACACTGTACACTACACTATACACTACAATATACACTACACTATATATAACTACACAATACACTATACACTACAATATACACTACACTTTACACTACACTATACACTAGTGCTGTACGAGTATAATACACTATACACTACACTATATAATACACATTACACTAGTGCTGTACTAGTATACTATACTATACACTACACTATATATAACTATACACTACACTATACACTACACTATGCACTAGTGATGTACTAGTATACTACACTATACACTACGCTATACACTGCAATATACACTACACTATACACTAGTGCTTTACTAGTATTCTACACTATGCACTACACTATACACTACACTATATATAACTATACACTACACTATACACTACACTATATACTACACTATACACTACACTATACACGATATACTACATTATATATAAGGATACACTACACTATACATTACACTATACACTACACTAATATAGTATACTCGAATATACACTACACTATATACTACACTATACACTACACTATACACTAGTGCTGTACTAGTATACTACACTATACACTACAATATACACTGCACTATACATTAGTGCTGTACTAGTACACTACACTATACACTACACTATACACTCGTGCTGTACTAGTATACTGCACTATATACTACACTATACACTACACTATACACTACACATACACTAGTGCTGTACTAGTATACTACACTATACACTACACGACATACTACACTATACACTACACTATACACTACACTATACTTTACACTACACTATACACTACACTATACACTACACTATACACTAGTGCTGTACTAGTACACTACACTATACACTACACTATATACTACACTATACACTACGCTGTACTAGTATACTACACTATACACTACATTACCTTCTACACTATACACTACACTATACAACTACAGTATACACTAGTGCTGTACTAGTATACTACACTATACGCTACACTATACACTACACTATACACCACACTATACAATACACTATATACTACACTATACACTACACTACACACAAGTGCTGTACTAGTACACTACACTATACACTACACTATACACTAGTGCTGTATTAGTATACTACACTATACACTACACTATACACTAGTGCTGTATTAGTATACTACACTATACACTACACTATACACAAGTGCTGTACTAGTATACTACACTATACACTACACTATACACTGCACTATACACTACAGTATACACTAGTGCTGTACCAGTAAACTACACTATACACTACACTATACACTAGTGCTGTACTAGTGTAGAGTAGGAGTTAAGTGACGTCATGTCACGCTCACCCTCTGGTACGATGACGTCACGGATGATGACGTCATGCACAGGGGCGCGGGATGGTGACGTCATGTCCCCCTTGGGGGGATTTAAGCCGGGAACACGTCACGTGTTCAGGGTAGGGGGTACTGAGCACCAGGCTGGGGTAGCCTGTGGATGTGCTAGGGACCTCCCCAGTACCCTACCCCTGGGGGAGCGATGGGACCCAGGGTAGTGGGTAATGAGCACCAGGCTAGGATAGCCTGTGGGTGTGCTAGTGACCTCCCCCAGTACCCTACTCCTGGAGGAGCGATAGGACACAGGGTAGGAGTTAATGAGCACCAGGCTAGGGTAGCCTGCGGGTGTGCTAGGGACCTCCCCAGTACCCTACCCCTGGGGGAGCGATGGGACCAGCGTAGGGGGAGATTAGCACCAGGCTAGAGTAGCCTGTGGATGTGTTAGGGACCTCCCCCAGTACCCTACCCCCGGGGGAGTGATGGGACCCCGGGGTAGGGGGAAATTTACACCAGGCTAGGGTAGCCTGTGGATGTGCCAGGGACCTCCCCAGTACCCTACCCCTGGGGGAGCGATGGGACCCCGGGCTAGGGGGTAATGAGCACCAGGCTGGGGTAGTCTGTGGGTGTGCTAGGGACCTCCCCAGTACCCTACCCCCGAGGAGCGATAGGACACAGGGTAGTAGGTAATGAGCACCAGGCTAGGATAGTCTGTGGGTGTGCTAGGGACCTCCCCAGTACCCTACCCCTGGGTAGCGATAGGACCCAGGGTAGTGGGTAATGAGCACCAGGCTAGGGTCGCCTGCGGGTGTGCTAGTGACCTCCCCAGTACCCTACCCCTGGGGGAGCGATAGGACCAGCGTAGGGGGAGATTAGCACCAGGCTAGAGTAGCCTGTGGATGTGTTAGGGACCTCCCCCAGTACCCTACCCCCGGGGGAGCGATGGGACCCCGGGGTAGGGGGAAATTTACACCAGGCTAGGGTAGCCTGTGGGTGTGCTAGGGACCTCCCCAGTACCCTACCCCTGGGGGAGCGATGGGACCCAGGGTAGTGGGTAATGAGCACCAGGCTAGGGTAGTCTGTGGGTGTGCTAGGGACCTCCCCAGTACCCTACCCCTGGGTAACGATAGGACCCAGGGTAGGGGGTAATGTGCACCAGGCTAGCGTTGCCTGTGGGTGTGCTAGGGACCTCCCCAGTACCCTACCCCTGGGTAGCGATAGGACACAGGGTAGGGGGTAATGATTACCAGGCTAGGGTAGCCTGTGTTTGTGCTAGGGACCTCCCCCAGTAACCTACCCCTGGGTAGCAATAGGACACAGGGTACTGGGTAATGAGCACCAGGCTAGGGTAGCCTGTGGGTGTGCTAGGGACCTCCCCCAGTACCCTGCCCCTGGGTAGCGATAGGACACAGGGTACTGGGTAATGAGCATCAGGCTAGGGTAGCCTGTGGGTGTGCTAGGGACCTCCCCAGTACCCTACCCCTGGGTAGCGATAGGACACAGGGTACTGGGTAATGAGCATCAGGCTAGGGTAGCCTGTGGGTGTGCTAGGGACCTCCCCAGTACCCTACCCCTGGGGCAGCGATGGGACACAGGGTAGTGGGTAATGAGCACCAGGCTAGGGTAGCCTGTGGGTGTGCTAGGGACCTCCCCAGTACCCTGCCCCTGGGTAGCGATAGGACCCAGGGTACTGGGTAATGAGCACCAGGCTAGGGTAGCCTGTGGGTGTGCTAGGGACCTTCCCCAGTACCCTACCCCTGGGGGAGCAATGGGACCCAGGGTAGGGGGTAATGATTACCAGGCTAGGGTAGCCTGTGGGTGTGCTAGTGACCTCCCCCAGTACCCTACCCCTGGGGTGTGGAGTGTAGGCAGTGAGCGTGCAGTACACGGAGTCGTGGTGTGTGAAGAAAGGTCTTTAATAAAACAACTGGCGCGAGCCCCTTACACGAAGATCTGCCTCCGAGTCATCAGTTACGCCTCAACGCTGGTGAGAAAGCTCCCATAACCTAACGCTTCATCTCCGTTAGGCAATTCGCGTTGAAAGAATCATTGCAGTCAAGAGAACTAAAATTTAAACGTGACAAAGCAATTCATGGAAAGGTCATTTTTTATCAGCAAAAATAATTTCCCATCTCCAGTTTGCTTGGTGGCGAGGCGCCTTTAAAAGCCCCCAGTTCAGCGGTCCCCGAGCCCCGGGCCGTGGACCGGTACCGGTACCGGTCCGCGGTCTGTTAGGAACCGGGCCGCACAACAATTTCATAGTTTCATAGTTTCATTTATTTTGGTATATCCCCGTGAGCCATTCGGGTCTTGAATCGGGTGCATCCGCAACAAACAAACAAAAAAACCAAAAACACGAACAAGAAAAACGTCTTAAAGTGACTACGTGTGGTGACTTTGTGCAAACAGAAAATCCATGGAAAAAAAAACATCAAAATATTCCTGAAACAGCACCATGTACACCACCAACGCTGTGTGCAAAAAATCCCAGTGGGATGCAAGTCAAACAACAACAACAAGACAACTTAGATTAAGGCCATCAGTCTAACTCCCGTACTACAATAAACAAAAACATGGCCAAACCAAAAATAAACTTTTAGAAATCACCAAAATGAAGCCATAAATGCAATGTAACAGTGATCATAGGAACTGTGGCCGAATTTTTTTTAACAATAAACTACATAAATAACATGTAACACCAAACCCTAGGCAGCCACCACAGCTTGTTTCTGATATATAATAAGATACGGCTATTGTAACATTACAGGACATTAGTCATGTATTATTATGCCAATATACGTGGATGTCCAATACAGGTCGTCTGGAATGGCTGGAAATATATATATTTGTTTCCATAAACGCATTAGTCAATAACACCGGGGTCTTAACATTAATATATCATACGAAGTGATCATTTAAGTGGCAAAATACGACCTGTAAACGTTTTTCGAACACAACGGGGTTATTTACATTATGAGACCTCCTTTGCCAGCAACAAGATATAGTAATAGGTTTTACCCTTTTAACTGGCACAAAAACTGACACCTTTATTCAAGGCATCATGTCTGCAATAACCACAACACAAGCAGTTTTTTTGTGCCAGTTAAAAGGGTAAAACCTATTACTATATCTTGTTACTGGCAAAGGAGGTCTCATAATGCAAATGCTCACCCCGAGCCCTCAATACTCTGATGGTGCGCTGTTTTTGAGTTGTACGCCTTTTGGCGTCTTCTGGTCCAACACCAGTGGAGACTTAAGGGGCTCTAAGAAAAGCCGTCTCGGGTGTGGACCAATCACATTCAAGGACAGTGCCAATATCATTATCGGAGTTGTCTTTTTTGTTTACATTTTGACTGCTTGTGTTGTGGTCATTGCAAACATGATGCCTTGAATAAAGGTGTCAGTTTTTTGTGCCAATTAAAAGGGTAAAACCTATTACTACAACGGGGTTACCTTAATAGAGGTTTTTTTTTTGGGTTAGATCGCGTAAATGTCTTTTAATTTAAACCTTTCGTGACTGCAGTAATTCATATTCTTAGCTCTTTCGGTAAAGTCACGTTGAAGGGAAACAACAAAATAATAAAAAAATATATAAAACAATAAAAATTCTCACGACGTTTCGACCAAAACACAAACGGCCGTCTTCAGGTGTGTTGGTTTTTTATATATATATTTTATTATTTTGTTGTTCCCCTTCAACGTGACTTTACCGAAAAAACTAAGAATATGAATTACTGCAGTCACGAAAGCTTTAAATCAAAATTTAAACCGCCACTTCTTTCAAATGGTTCTTGCCGTTGGTTTTTCGCACTTGATGACAACCGTTTGTGTTATGGTCGAAACGTCGTGAGAATGTTTTTTATTGTTTTATATATATTTTATTATTATTTTGTTGTTCCCCTTCAACGTGACTTTACCGAAAGAGCTAAGAATATATAAATGTGTCATGAAACCCGCCACCACCCGTTAAACCCGCCACCACCCAGAGGCAAGCGGTGAGTCCGAGCGTGGCCCTGCCCATTATACTTACAAAAATAATCCGCAGACTACCTGCTGCTGGATCTCCTCTCTGTTTCAAAGAACAAATTTGACCTCGGGTCTTCGCTCATTTTACCAGCTTCACATTCCCCTATTTGCGTACAAAAACCGGAGGAAGGGCCTTTGCTGTTGATGCCCCCAGGTTCTGGAATGCCATCGCCAATAAACTGCAACTTGGATCACACTACCCGTGAGATCTTCACTCAAAACTGCTCTAGAGGATCTTCTTTGGTTCTTTCGGTAAAGTCACCACGTAGAATGAGAATCAAGTAAATGAAATAAAACAATAAAATTCTCACGGCGTTTCGGCCACAACACAAGTGGCCTTCTTCAGGTGAAGGAACAGGACTGTCCAGAAGACAGCGCTTGAGTGAACCCTGTCAAGCTTGTCAGCGTCTTTTTAAGCTTAGAATCGCGTGGTTATTGCAAACATGATGCCTTGAATAAAGGTGTCAGTTTTTTGTGCCAGTTAAAAGGGTAAAACCTATTCCTATATCTCTTCAGAAAGGTTGAGAGACTCCATTAGTTGGGGTCTCTTGTCCCGGAGTCTGTTGAAAGATCTTAAGGTCGTGTGAAATCCCTCCCCGCAGAGGCGGTTACATTTCGATTTAAAGCTTCTCCGAGGATTCATCTTCGTTGGTTCTTTCGGTAAAGTCACCACGTAGAATGAGAATCAAGTAAATGAAATAAAACAATAAAATTCTCACGGCGTTTCGGCCACAACACAAGTGGCCTTCCTCAGGCGAAGGAACAGGACTGTCCAGAAGACAGCGCTTGAGTGAACCCTGTCAAGCTTGTCAGCGTCTTTTTAAGCTTAGAATCGCGTGGTTATTGCAAACATGATGCCTTGAATAAAGGTGTCAGTTTTTTGTGCCAGTTAAAAGGGTAAAACCTATTCCTATATCTCTTCAGAAAGGTTGAGAGACTCCATTAGTTGGGGTCTCTTGTCCCGGAGTCTGTTGAAAGATCTTAAGGTCGTGTGAAATCCCTCCCCGCAGAGGCGGTTACATTTCGATTTAAAGCTTCTCCGAGGATTCATCTTCGTTGGTTCTTTCGGTAAAGTCACCACGTAGAATGAGAATCAAGTAAATGAAATAAAACAATAAAATTCTCACGGCGTTTCGGCCACAACACAAGTGGCCTTCTTCAGGTGAAGGAACAGGACTGTCCAGAAGACAGCGCTTGAGTGAACCCTGTCAAGCTTGGAAGCGTCTTTTTAAGCTTAGAATCGCGTGGTTATTGCAAACAT